AGCATCACTTGCGGGGGGGGGAGACAGGGTCGGCTTTGGGGCCAAACCCATACTGGGGCAGTGCGGGCCCTCCCTGCCAAACAAAGGAGTTGACAACCCCTTTTGGTTTTTCCGCGCGATGGGCTTCAGTTGGCCCTGCCCCTTAACCCAGCCGCCCGGCCTGAAACGGTCCCGAGCCAGCGTGTTCAGAAGCAACTGTACAGCTTCGGCAAACCTTCCAAAAAAAAAAAAGAAGCCACCCGACCGCTTGCTCTTGGTCACGGGAACGTCTACAAGGGCCTGTCTTCGAACCCGCTCGGCATTGGAAGTGGCCTTGAGCCGTCTAGTTGCATGTGCCTCTTGCAGAATGGCTGGCAGGGCAGGCGTCTAAGAGCTTGGGGTCAGCCCTGTCCAATGACCCATCTCACCATACCAATTCACATTGAGTGGCTTTGGCCTTTATCTCGGAGATACAGCAACTAGGCACTGTCCTTTTGTTCTCCCAGGTCCACACTCGAGCCCGGGCCTGGCATACAGCAGCTCTTCGGCATCTTTGCTCTGATCCCTGACCCGGTATCATTGCCGACTTTAGTTGTGGTGAGGCAACAACCTCAGTTTGTGCTTCGTTGTAGCAATCTCCTCAAGGTTGCAGTTTCCCTCTGCTCGGCCTCCGCTTGCCCCGTGTGCTTTGGTTCTTGGCTGGGCTTAGGTCGGGGATTCCTTGAGTCGGGGAAGGAGAGACGCCCCTCGACTTCTTCTGCCACCCACAGACACGTCACGTCTTTCTGGTGTTGTCAACTTTGGACGTGCACCCCTTTCTGCGCGGTTATCGCAGGACGGGTTGGTTGATCTCCGGAACGGGCGTCATGATGGCGCTTCTCCTCGGGCTGTAGGATAAGAGTGCTGGTTATAGTGACCTTGGGTTTCTACCCTCTCCGGGTGTAATTGAGGACGCCCGTTCCATCTCGCTGCCAATCCCATACCCAGCGGACGGGAACCTTTGGACCCCGCGCAGAGCTTGGTTACAACGGATTCTGGCATTCAGGCCCAGGTAGCCTGTCCCTTGAATGTTCAGTAACGCTACCTCTTTACCCTAAAGAGTCTTGTCCTTGGCACCCTTGAGCGTATTCAATCTACGGCCATCCTTATCTACATCTGCTTCTGCACACCCGCGGCGCAATCGGTGGGCCTCGCAGCTTCAAGTGGGCTCGTCCTCAGCCTTGAGGCAATCGGGCCTGCCGGCCCTTGGAGCTCCTTTCCAGCGTGTTCATAGCTCAGTTTGGGCAGTGCATGGCCAGTGCTTCGGTCAACCCTGTGCCGATTAGTGCCCTCAGTGCGTTACTTGGATGATTTCTTTTCTGCAGAGCTTGTCCAACCCGCAGTACGCAGTTGAGCATCTCTTTGCTTTTCCGAGCTTTTGGGCCCAGAGTCTCTGAGTGGCATGTTCTCCATTGTCGACTCTCCCTAGGAGTTGTCTGGCCACCGATTTCTTTGCTTTACGGAACTAGGGGCCACTCCCTGCGGTGTCGCCCAATACGACGTCCCAAGAGGTGCCTCTCTCTGACGCACGCCTGAGCCAGATACACAACGCGGCTGCTGGGCCGCTTTGGACGGCGCTGACCAAGGAAAGAACCAAGGCATCTGCTGCTCAGATTTTGGCACACAATTGGAAGGTGCGTTGGAGTGTCATCCGGCTGGAAAACGACTTGGTCAAAACCCTACTGGACGCTTTGACCCAGCATCCTGGAGAGCGTGCTCAGTTTGTTAAAAACCTGGCCGAGCTGACGGAAGAGTCTGAAGCAGAGGAGGCGTCTTCCGCCGAAGCGCCTGGCGGATCGGATGGCTAAAGCCCACTGTTACAAAACCTTTTGTTATGGTTAGCAGTGAGTTGGCTTCGTTGCGTTTGGGCGCACAAACCTGGCTCGGAGTTAGCCGGTATTTTGGTGTCTTTTGCCATGCTAGCGCCTCCGTAGTTCTTCGGGCTCTTGCACCAGGCAGGGTCTGTCTTTGATCTGTGAGACCCATCGATAGTCATCTCGGGCTGTGCTTAGCCGAGTGTATCACATGGGTGAGATCTTTGGGTCTAACAGCACCTTGGCATTGATCTCCGACTCTTCGCCACTCCGCCGACTTTGGTGCTGGGCAGTGGAAAATGTCTGGCTGCAGCATTTGTCTTATTGTCAACCTCTGGCATTAGTCATCTGCAACACTTTTGGGCATCCGGCATCGCTAGGATCTCTGCACAGTTATCCTGGCCGTAGCCTCGCTGCCCAGGCTACGACACCTTTGTCGCTTCCAGCATACGAGGGGGTATAACCTCGTGTTCTTTCCAGAGGCACGGTACATCACCTGAACTTTCTGCGTCTTTGCACGTGCATCCTCCTGCTGAGCTTTGTGGCATGAAGCGCTTTCGTTCCATCCTTTGGCTTTGGGGTGGGGTCCTCCTCCTTGGCACAGCCCAACGAGTGGTCGCACATTCGTGGCTTTATACTCCGCCATGTCAAGTCGGTGGGGATATATTTGCTTGCTTTGGTGCTAAGCCCACACATTGGCAACGACGGCCCCGGTGCACCGGTATTTCTTCAGGTTTGGGGTTCTTAGAACCCAAACAACCAGTCGCTTCACTCAACCAGTAGTCCCGGTTGGATGCCTTTCCAGCAAAGGGAAAAGGAAGAAAGACAAAGAAAGAATTTCCCTGGGGGTGGTTGGGCACCCTCACTGCCTCGGTGGAGGAGGAAATCGGCAAAGGCTGATTCTTAGAACTTCATTTGGGATGAGGCCCCCAATAAGCTCGGGACGTGGGCAAACGGAAGGTGACCGTTGGCTTTTTTTGGCACTGCGAGGCAGAGCCTCGATCTTTCCCCCCTGAGAACTTGCCCCTGGTGTTTGGCTAGGTCGGCCAGTTTTTCTTGACGACTCACTCACCTTTGGGTTTGGCCCACTGAGTCACTGAGTTCGCAGTGCCTTTGCGGATACCTCCCCGACCTTCTTGGTTGGCATCGGGGGTTTTTCTTCGATGTTAGTTACAGGCAAGTCGCGTAATTCCTTTTCCAAAATCGGAAGCCGTCAGGCTTATCTGCCTGGGAGTCAAATTGCAGACCCTGCACATCGTGACATCTCTTGTCACGAAACTTTGGTCCAAAAAGGGGCCTGACACTTGTGGCAGCTTTGCGCCCGTTGCTTGGAGCAGCTTCGCATGCTGACCTTTTTGTCTGGGCAGCTTTGGTACAAAGCAGGCAGCGTAACCTCTACAGCTCAAGCTTTCCTTTGTCCCTTTCTGCACGGGTTTGGCATTTTGTATTATGGCCTTCACGGCTCTCAGTGCCTTGACATCATGTCACACCTTGTCAGCACGCTTCGAGACACTTGATGTGTAGCTTGTTCAGCAGAATCTTTGAGCGACATCCTTTTTGGCATTTGGGGTTAGATCGCCGTTTATTCTCGTCCGTGGGACGGGTAGATGGACAGCACTGACGACGTGGCCTACTTGAGGGAGGAGTCTCCCGTCTTCGGCGTCAAGTGGCCATTCTACAGGGAGATCTCTCCGGGGCCCATTTAGCTGCAGAGCGACTACAGTCTCGGGTGCTTGTTCTGGAGCAGTCTTTAGGTGGGCATCTGGCTCGATTATCCGATTTGGAGGCCGACCTCGAGCTTTGCAGCACTCGTCTCGCCGAAGTTCATTCTTCCATGTGCGCGGTCATCCAAGGTATTGGGTCTGTCCTTTGTTCCCTGCTTCGACAGCTGGGCAATCGACCCTGAACTTGCTCTTGGTCGCCACGCCCCCTTCGCGCCGCTGAGGGCATGGCATCCTTCAGTATCGAGTCGGATACTTGGCACATCCCTGGCGAGAATATGAGGCTTGCGCGCACCTTCGCACACATGTACGGCTCTGCCCTGCCGACATTTCCTTGTGAGGGCAATCCCCGAATGCTCGGGACATGACTGGCACGTCTCCGCTCACCTTTTGTAAATTGGGCTGTTAGGAGCGAGCTTTGACTTTGCCAGTTTTAAATTGGTGATATGGACAGATTCTCAGCTTTTGGCATGCAACATCTGCTTTTTGCTTTGTGCTTCGAACTCTGAGCTGCATATCCGGCAAAGTCAAAAAGAGAGAGCTCGCGGTGTAGTGCTTTTGCTTTAGCTGGGAGCTTCGTTTAGGCTATTCAACAGCTTTGGTAGTGTGGCTTGAACTAAACAGTGAACGGGTCATGTGTTTACTCATGTTTGTTTACTGTGAGAAAGAACACCGTACCTTGTTGCTTTCGGTTCAAGCCACACACCAAATCGTTGCAGCATATAGTGCATCGCTTTCTAGCTTTATTTTGACCCACCCACCACTCCCATTTTGGAGACACAGATCTTCAACTTTGGGATAGGTCTCTGGACCATCGTGCAATTGGAGCTTGCACTGTCTCACGAGAATCCACCATGTGCTTTATATCCTGGTCTTATTGGTTTCTATACCTGTGATTCGTACACTCTGCATTGCTTTGCTTTGGACTTGGGTGGTGATATGGACAGATTCTCAGCTTTTGGCATGCAACATCTGCTTTTTGCTTTGTGCTTCGAACTCTGAGCTGCATATCCGGCAAAGTCAAAAAGAGAGAGCTCGCGGTGTAGTGCTTTTGCTTTAGCTGGGAGCTTCGTTTAAGCTATTCAACAGCTTTGGTAGTGTGGCTTGAACTAAACAGTGAACGGGTAGGTTCTTGTGTGTTTTTGGGGTTTATAGGTCCCCGCTGGCCTTTGCAAACCTCTCACGCCAACTCTGGCACCCCTATGACTCTCTTGTGCATCTGCCTGACCACCTTGTCCGGTCCTTGTTTAACCAGCTCACCTTCTCGCCCCACGAGCTCTCAGCGCACAGGCTGCAAAAGCTCAAAACGTGGAGGGCTTGGGCATCAGACCTCAGTGCACAAGAGTCCGCGCTCAAGGCCTCCCTGCGCCCGGCAGTCGCTTCAATTCTCAAGTCAAAGAGAATTTGCCTGATGCGCAGGATAGCAGAAAGCATACAGTGGCCCGACATGGCCATCTTCGATGAGATGTGCGAAGGCTTCAGGCTAGTGGGTCACGGAACCAAGTCCGGGCTCTTTCGGCCGGGCGTCAGGCTGGCATCGATGTCGGAAAGCGAACTCATGGAGTCGGCCCGTCGTCTGCGGCCTCAGCTCCTGTCGAAGGTGATGCAAGAGAAGCAAGATGATTTTTCGGAGGAGCTCCATGAGACAACAATGAGGGAGGCATCAGAGAAGGGGTGGCTCGAAGGGCCGTTCTCGCCTGCAGACATGGACAAGCGTTTTGGGAACTGGCTGCCAGTTCGAAGATTCGCGGTGGCCCAGAAGGGGAAGATCAGGGCCATCGATGACTTTAAGGAGAATCTCTTGAACAACGCCTACACCGCGGTGGAGAAGGTAGTTCTGTCTGCAATGGACCACCTGCTATGGAGCCTCCAGGTGTACCTGAGGTACCTCCTGCATCGTGGCGAGGTCAGGCTTGAGCTCTCCTCAGGAGAGATCCTGAGCGGGAGAGTCCACCCTTCGTGGGTCGCCAAAGAAGGGTCTTTGGTTGCGACCGCCCTTGATCTTCGGAGCGCCTACAAACAGCTCCCCCTAAGTCCCCGGGACCATGATAAGACTGTTGTGGTTATTAGGAACCAAGGCCAGCCGGCCTGCTTTGTTATGCATACGCTCCCCTTCGGGGCGGCAGCAAGTGTCGACAAGTTCCTTCGCATCAGTGCTTTCATTCAGGCCGCGGGGTGCGAGCTGTCCCTCCTGTGGACAAACTACTTTGATGATTTCCCCCTCGCTTCGAATCAAACCACATCCTCTTCCTGCATAGCTGCCGCCAAAACCTTCCTGACTCTTATGGGCTTCGAGTACGCCAGTGACACGCTGGAACCCTTCAGCCAGACGTGTGAAGTTCTTGGAGTCAGGATTGACCTCACCCGGGCCGAGCAGGGCTTCATTGAGGTCTGCAATAAGCCTTCAAGGGTCCAGGAGGTACTCCATCTCCTCGATGGAGCGTTGGGTTCCCACAGGCTTGTTCCCGCTTCAGTGCCAACCTTTGTCGGCAAGTTGCAGTACGCGGATTCCCAGGTGTGCGGCAGAGCCGGGAAGATTGCCTTAGGCGACCTTAGGGTTATGGGAGGGTCTGGCCGATACCCCGTTAATCTCAGTCAGGAACAGGTTGATGCCCTCAAGGTTCTCAAGCTACGGTTCACACGGGGGAAGCCAATAAGGCTCAGCTCCTCCGAACCATCGATGCCCCACGTCATCTTCACCGATGGCGTGCTCGAAGCTGGAATTGCATCCATTGGCGGTGTCTTCTATCCCACGTGCCGTGAGATGCCAGCTGAAGTGTTCGGCGGCACGCTGCCGGAGGAGTTGCTGGGTCTCCTGAAGGGAGATAAGGAGCACGTCATAGGGGCCGTCGAGCTATATGCCGTAGCTGTGGCCCTTCACCTCTGGATGCCCCGCCTTGCCGGCAGCAAGGTCCTGGTTTTCGTAGATAACTGGCCGGCGTTGGACACCTTCGTGAAGGGGTCTTCCTCAGTGCCCGAGTGGCGCAAGGTCTTACTGTGCATTGAGCGGTCTGAAGGAGAAGACCCCCCTTTGATATGGTTTGCACGTGTCCCCCTCAGGCTCCAACATCGCCGACGATCCAAGCAGGGGCCTCCTCAAAGCCCTAGAGAATGACAACTATATCATGTCCAATCCCACGTGCCCGCTCACAGGCAAGCTCCTGCATTCCTTCTTCTCCAATCTGGCTTAAGCGGACAGGGGAGCCATATGTGGGCTTTGACTTGGCGTGTGTATGGACACGCGGATGTGGCTATGCGACCAATGTGTGGGTCGATATGCGGATGCTTACCCCTGTTCGCTCTACGTGAGAAAAAAGACCGATGGAATCTGCTTTAATGAGAATGGTCTTTTATCATTCCATTGGGAATATAAATATATTTGCGAGGGTCAAACTATATCTGTAAGATTGTTAGCTAGCTAATAGCTCTTTACAGATGTGTTTGATCGCTTCGATGCAGAAGCACCCGAGCAAAAAAAAATGTGTAGGATCTTCTACCCTGCCATTTTACTCATTCATGTTTCCTCAGCGTGCATACTTTTTCTTCCTGAGATGTTTTTCTATGTTCACTCACGCCTTGATTTTCATGGGGCTTTTATGATACTTGTGCATGCGCGAATTCCCCTTCTCAGTTGCAGGTGTGGCAACATGACATGTGTGCAAATGTGGCAACAATTCTATACACTCATAATGAACAGTTGATGACACAGCAGAACACATTCGTTGCAGTGTGTGTTGTGAATATAGCTGCGAATTTGTTTCACCCACCCTCCCAACCCTGGGGGGAGCCATATGTGGGCTTTGACTTGGCGTGTGTATGGACACGCGGATGTGGCTATGCGACCAATGTGTGGGTTGATATGCGGATGCTTACCCCTGTTCGCTCTACGTGAGAAAAAAGACCGATGGAATCTGCTTTAATGAGAATGGTCTTTTATCATTCCATTGGGAATATCAATATATTTGCGAGGGTCAAACTATATCTGTAAAGGGTCGCCAAGGGCTGCTTCGCGACGGTGCGGGAGCTCGCTGGACGACGGGCAGAGCTTCGCGCCCGCGGAGCTGCTGCCCCACGCGCGGCTCTGCCAGACGGTCACGTACGCCTCCTGCCAAGGCCTCACGCTGCGGGGGAGGGTGTGGCTCTGCGACGTCGAGAACCCGCACTTGTCGGTGAAGCACCTCTACGTGGGCGTGTCGCGGGCCACGGGCGCGGAGCTCCTGAGCGTGATCTGAGACCTGCGGAGCCATCCCGGTAATTCCCGGGATGGCTGAGCTGCCAAAAACGGGCAGCATTCCCTTCCCCGCAGCCCCCCCTGGGGTGGCGGGTGGTGAGGTTTCGGAGCCGCCCCATTTCCTCCCTAACAGTCGGGCACCGCCCTCGACTTTGCTGGGCCGCCCGCCGCAGCCCCGGGAGCCTACCGCCGGGTAACCGGTCGGTCACGGGCCCCGGGACCGCAGCGAGCGTGCCCGTGTGCGCGTGCGACGCTCTCGGCAAAAGTTCGGCATCTCGCCCACGCGCCGCGCCCCCACCGCCGCCGCACCGCCGCGATTGTCCCGCCCGATTGTCGCACCCGATTGTCCCACCCGATTGTCCCACCCATTGTCCCACCCATTGTCCCACCCGATTGTCCCACCCGATTGTCGCACCACGACGCGAAAAAAAGACTGAAACAAATAATGCACTTCGCGCGCGCGACAAAAACAATAAAAAATGAACGCGTCGCACGGCATGCACAAATGAACGCCGTTGCGCGGCATGCAAAAAGAAACGCGTCACGCGGCGTGCACAAATGAACGCGTTTCGTGGCGTGCACAAATGAACGCGTCACGCGACACGCACAAATGAACACGTTGCGCGGCATGCAAATAGAAACGCGTCACGCGGCATGCACAAATGAACGCGTTGCGCATCATGAAAGCATCATGGAAACATTTTTGTCGCATCATGAAAGCATTTTGTCGCATCACGAAATCATCATGGAGCATCTCTCTCTTAGGCAGAAGCCCCCCAACCCCCCCACAACACAGCTGAGAGGATCGAGTATCTACGTTTGAGGAGTGTCGTTCTAGGAGCTTTCGATGCTAAAATGCATCAGAGTGCAGTTTCAGGTCTCACAGGAGCATCGGAGCAGCCGATTTTGAGGCCAGAACATTTGCTCGTAATTGGAATCGCAACAGGATGCAGTTCTGAGGCTGCGGAGCTGTGGAGTTCCACGCTGTTTCACTCCACAGCTCCGCAGCCTCAGAACTGCATCCTGTTGCGATTCCAATTACGAGCAAATGTTCTGGCCTCAAAATCGGCTGCTCCGATGCTCCTGTGAGACCTGAAACTGCACTCTGATGCATTTTAGCATCGAAAGCTCCTAGAACGACACTCCTCAAACGTAGATCCTCGATCCTCTCAGCTGTGTTGTGGGGGGGTTGGGGGGCTTCTGCCTAAGAGAGAGGACCGCTGCCGCGCGAAAGGAAGCCGCGCTCCCAGTGCTGACCTCCGTGCTTGCGGCCTGCTCCCGTTGTGCTGTTGTTGTCGTTTTTCTGCTTGTTTGTCTTGCTGTTGTTGGGTCTTCTCGAGCGCAGCGTATGCTTTGTCGAGGCCGCCGACGCTGCCGTGTGAGAGTGTGAGAGTGTTTAGAGTGTGAGAGTGTGAGAGTGTGAGAGTGTTTAGAGTGTGAGAGAGCGAGAGAGTGTGAGAGTGTGCCTCTCGGACCCTCGGACAGGGCGCTGCCCTGACGCGCAGTACCACTTGAATCATGTGTGGGTTAGGCTCTACACAAGCCACAGGCCGCACTGGCCTGCAAACTCTGGCCAAAAAATCGATCACGAGGCGGGAGGTAGAGAATGCACAGGAGGAATGCGCATACGGGCATTCCCGGCCGCCGTGTTTATGCCACAACCGCAAGCTGTTACAAGCACTTCAATACCTGCGAGTCTGTCCAGGTCTGTCCACGAGTCATCACGAGTCCACAAATTCCGAGGGCCTTAGGCGACATTTTATATCTTTTTGTTTTGTTCGGCAACGTCAGAGTGTGTGCAGATCGTACATACGTACACAAAGGCTGAAGACTTCGTGTTCGCTTCCTACACGCGGCAAACTCTGGACTTGTGAAATCAAAGCCATCACTCACCTTGCAGCTGTCTAAGAGGAAGAAACAAGCCTTTTCAATGAACGCCTACATTCTGGCAAAGCTTGAAGAACATTCTGTGCCATTTATGCCCTGCCCAAGCGCGCGCACACTGGCTGCAAAAATTTCCGGTGGTCTCAGCTGTTCTTCGTGTTTTCTTGCGAAAGATGCATGCGCCTAAACACATCTGTATCACCAACTGCTTGAGAACACATCATTCAGGCTCAGGGAAGCGTTGTATGTAGGGCCAAATTTTGGGAAAGCCCAGAGCCACAAACCCTTGAAACCAAACGGAAAAAACCAGTCTGCACAGACAGAATTTTGCACAAAGTCAGCGAGCACAACGTTACCTAAAAGACTTGCAATCAGCTATCGACCAATGCCACAAGTGAGCAGGGAAAGAACAGGTGGATTAAGCAAATGAGACAGTGAAAGACGCACAGCAGCAAAGGAAGCAACGCGCAGCAAGAACGTGGCAATGTGTGGCAAGCACGCTGTCAAGTCAGCAAGTGCCCACAGTCACACAGAGCAAAGCGACTCGGTTTGCTCACCCAATGGATTCGGGTTCGTGTCGGATTCGAACTTGATTCGACGCTAATGGCTGTGAAGATAATGGCTGTGAAGATAGGGCAATCAATGCGCATCCGATGAAGATTTTGACAGGATTGCGAAAAGGTTCCATTGACTGTGTTGGATTCGAATCCTGTTCGAACCTGAGCGTGAAAGGAAACAAAGGCGGATGTGAACGTGGCACGGGTGGTTTCTCTACCTTAGCTCGGGTGAAGTTGTTTGCAGGTTGCCCGGCTGCTATTGCTTCCTCTTGCTGTGTAGGTTCGTTTCCCATTTACTGGGCTTCCAGCGCTGCATTGCTTTCGTTTTTTGCTGCATAGCTGTTGGTTTTTTTTGTTGATTTTTCGTGCTGTAGTTTTTGCTTTTGGCACTTTTTTGTTTTCATTTTTAGACCCTTTGTTTTTGCACATTTGAAGCTGGGTTGCTTGTCAGTTTTGACAATGCTGGATTGCAAATTTATTTCGGCCGACATTGGCTGATTTTACCAACAAAGGCCGGATGCACTTCCAGCGCAATTTGCTGCCCTGTTGTGGCTCAAAGCGTTTTTCCAGCAAGGTTTTTGCATAACTTTTGGACATGGGGTTCTGGCATAATGCGCTGTAGAGCAAGCAAGGAGAGCGCACAAAGGCCCACTGACCAGGAGAAGTAGGAGAGGGAGAGAGAGAGCGAGAGAGAGAGAGAAAATAAAATGGAGACAAGAAGAGGCGACATGAAATAAACAGGAGAGCGACGGAGAGCAACGGAGGGCAACGAGACAGAGCCGAGCCCGATGGCTTCTTGCAGTGATGGCGTGGCCACTTCTGGGTGTCTCGGAGTACAAGGTTTTAAGTAGAGATTACGCAGGGTCCTCCCGACTTTTCCCAATCTTGATGGTGCCTCTCCGCTACAGGTTGCCGAGTGCCGGAGAAGGAAAATGCAGACGAGGCCATTCAGGTTTTGGCTATGAAAGGATCATTGCACCTACAATTTTCCCGCAGTCTGCTGATGTGTTTCAGTGAGGTAAAGCCAGTGAAGTTGATGCCGAAGTTGCCGCTGAGTGCGCCTCAGACGGTTTACCCAACGTGCTTGGATGTGAGCTTACGTGCTTGTCTTGGTTGAGCATGCGGGGGTGGATTCTGGTGGATTGGAACGTCCAAGGAATGGGCCCTCAGGACATCTTGAAACAGAAGTTCTGCTTGGAAAAACCGGGGAGTTTGACTTACGCACGGGGCCCAAGACCCGACGGATGGGGAAATGCTGGGAAAAATGCAGAAGAGCATGCTCTCAGCATGTCACAACTTAGGCTTGAAGCCGAAGTGGCATGCATGATACCCAGAATTCAGCAGAACTCAGCAGGAGTCTTGTTTTGTTCGACAGCGATGCTCGCAGAGCTCACTGAGTGCCTGAGGCGAATGTGTCACGGATTCCTGCCACTGCCCGATTGCAGAGGCATTCCTTGCAACATGCGCCACTGCCTTCCGAACCAGCATTGTGAGCAGTGACCAGATGTGAAAAGGTCTCTACCGCCTTTGCCAGAACCCAGCGACTCAAGGAGGTGCGCTGGCATGGCCAAAAACACCCAATCTGGGCCAATCCCACTCAACATCATTCAGCTTCCTCGACAGGCTGCAAACAGCTCGTCATGCGCAAGCGGTGGGCCTTACATGAGCATCAGCAGAAAGTCTACACGTCCACACCCTTGCAACTTCCAAGCTTAGGGTGACTTTGCCAACCTTCACAAGATCGTTTGCGCCCAAGCCGCCGTGCATTCGCACATCGCCAGGCGAGCGCCATCATGAGCCAACATCGTCCCACTGTTTCAGGATCACCTACATCTAGCACAATCACTTCCCGACGACGCGCCGCTGGCAGGGCAAACGTCATGAACGTCATTCTGCATCGTGCTGCATGGTGCTGCATGCTGCTGCATGCAAGTGGCAGAGAAGTCCGTGTTTGCCAGGGAGCCGGATCCCACTCCGCAGACCTAGCAGATGATGAGAGGCGCTGGATTGAATCGATGGCGACGTGGTGTTGAGCGTGTTCTGCAAAGGCCTGATCACAACTCATTGCAGCTATTTGGGCTGCTCTTCACTCAGACTAGTCTCAGACTGGATTGCAGTGGACCAATGGATTTAGCCTTCACTTCCAGGTTTTTTGGGTGTAGCTTTGTAGGAGCTTATGTGAGCCAAAGTGCTTTCCATTGCATGCTCCGCTCCTGCCCTTGCCAAAGGCCTGAACATGCTGCCACGGCGATGGCAGGTGTGCCATCTTGTGTGATTCTACAAAAGCTACAATTGCGCGGAATCTCGCTAAATATCCTCAATCCGAGGCAGCACCAGCAGCAAGAGCTTGTTCTCAACGGTAACATCCTCACATGCCCGGGCCTTGGATGTCATCTTCTGGTGTGGCGGACGATGTTGACGTGTCTGTGGCGCCTGATTTCCATTGATTTCCCACATATTGCCGCATGATGCAGGCAAGTCTGTCATCGGTCACGCCGCTCTCGTTCAGGCAACAGCATTGCAGGTAAGTTTGTGAGCTTTCATCCTAATCGCCCAGCTA